GGTTTATGCTACAATATGTAAATATGAGGGTTTACCGTTTAGGTGTCCAGGTACCTGATACATGTAGGAGCATTTTTGTGATGGCGTCGGATGCACATGTATTAGTGCAACAATATATATGGGCCGCGGTTACAGCCCAATATAAAAATCAAATGTTTAACTGTACTAATGGGGATGTGTTTTCTTGGAAGAGTATGTGGAAAGCGGTGAGTGAGGTTTATGAGGTTGAATTTGTAGCTTTTGATGAGTCTGATTTTGTGGGAACGATGAAACAAAAAGGAAATGTTTGGGATGAGATTGTGGAAAAGGAATGGACTATACAAGACTAAATTGGAGGAAATTATTTGTTTTGAGGCACTTTATCATAGACTTTGCAAAATGGGTGAGTAGGCTGAGTTAGGGTCGGGTCCAAATGGGTACGGGCTCAAAATGAGTTGACTTAAAGGGGTCCAAAATATTAGACCTAGACCCTACCCTATGCAGGTACGGGTAGACCACAGGTAGGGATGTATACAAGCCGAGCCGAGCCGAGCCGAGTATCGCGGTACTCGAGCTCGGTTCGTGATGAACAGTAGCGAGCTCGAGCCGAGCATGGTCGAGCTTCAATATTAGTGTTCGAGCTTGAGTCGCGAGTATTAGGTGCGCTTGAGCTTGCTTAAATGAGCTTAAACGAGCTCGAGCCTAATCGAGCTCAAAAACTGTTCGTGCACCAAAAACATATTGTAGATCTAATTCATCTGAAGGCAAAACTCGACCATAATTCAACACAATCTTTAATTTTCAACACCAACAATCTTTCAAAACATAAAATGAAATGACAAGTTTAAAGTTATTGGATGAAATATGCGTTACAATTGTTTGATATATTTGTTGGATGTACATATGTAATATGCATTTCTTGCACAAACACAAGTGTACAACTACAAAAAGGTAGACACTAAACACTTAGATAGTACACTCCATGAAGCTCTGTACAAACACATGAAGCTATATAAAAACCAAAAGTACACTCCATGAAGCTATGTGCCTATGTCCAAACACATAAAGCTATATACAAACACAAAAATACACTCCATGAAGCTATATACAAACACAAAAGTATACTCCATAAAGCTATATACAAAGACAAAAAAGCAGAAAACCAAAGCAAGAAATATAGACTTTGGGACAGCAAAATCTAAGAAGATCAAGAGAGAAAAACCCAAAGCAGAAGAAAGGCACCAAAGCCACCCAAAGCCAGGCCTCCCACAGTCCCACTTGCAAAGTGTAAATACAAAGGAAGCAAATAGTTTGCAAGTCAAATGTTTGCAATTCACCATTCACCAAATCAAAATCAAGACAACAATCACCATTCACCAAATCAAAATCAACACAACAACATCACAATATCCCTCTAATACAAACCCCAAGCTTCACCTGCAAAAGATCACTCACAAACAACCACCCAGATTTACTCTGAAACTCCAATAGTCAATAACCCAGAATTTCCAGTCACACCAGAACAGTTTAATCACTTCAAAACAATTGAAAAACACAAGCAATACTAAATAATCTCAATATCTATATTGAATAACCAAGTTCTCTGCATAGAAATTAAAAAAACTACGAAAAGGCTATATATTTACAAACCTGCGGATATATGTTGGAGGGTCAAACAATCTACACAATCCCTTCAAATGAAGAGATAGGAAGGGTAATCTCCAGTGGTTATCCGTCTAAAACATATATAGGAAAAAATCAGAAAGTTTAACGTTAGAATAAAAGAAAATAATATTCAAAATAAACGAGACATAAAAACAGTAATAATTTAAGGGTTAATTGAACTTACTTCATCAATCTTCATTAGAGTAGTGCTAGCACTGTGTCCGGAGACAATCGAGATTGATAATTGTTAATAACTCTACTTCTCGCACTGAAGGTAGCCTCTGAAGCCACCATGCTAACAAGAACGGCAAATATATCACGAGCCACCTTACATAACACTGGATATTTTAAACTATTTGCTTGCCACCACTTTAAAGCATCGAACGCCTCATAATCCACCTGACACTTATAACATGGCTATTCGAAATAGGAATCTAACTCCGATTTTTCGGGGCAATAGTTTCAATTATGTCCACATAATTCATTAAATCCGACCAACCAGAAGAGTCATCATCTGCATTCGTCCCACTCCCCCTACCCTGCCTGGTTGTAGGCATATGTCGATCAGCAGATGATTCACTATCAGCCACATATGCCCTATACAACCCGTATAAGGCATCCCGAACTGTTGTAGAATGAACCCATGCTTCAAGGTTACCATAAATCATGGGGAAAGCATAGTCCAACACTCTCATTTTGCACCCAGGGTCCATAACAGCAGCTATAACTATCAACAAATTGCACTCCCCCCCAATATTTATCAAATTTCCCTTTTATCTTCCTCACCATGGTCCTCACAAATTCATTTTCATCCTCAGCATGTTTATCCAACAAAACTTTCACCTTACAAAGCTCGGCAAGAAATCTATTTGATGTTGGATATTCAGACCCTAAAATGATGTTAGTGGTAACATTGAAAACCTTCAAAATTTCACAAACTCTCTGAATTTTATCTCAACCTTCATCAAGGGGACAAGAAGTGAAATGCTGGTCTCTTTCAAAGTATATTGGAAACACCCTTTGGAATTTTAGTGCAGTTGCCAACATTTCATAAGTTAAGTTCCACCTCGTTTTACAGTCCAATATCAACTTTCTGTGAGGCAACTACAATTACTACACAATTTCTAAAAAGATTTGTAGTCTACTCTTCGATTGATTGATGTAGTAGACACTATCACGGACGTCTTTGATAATGTGTCTAATCTGATTAAGATCATCTTGCATCATTATATTTAATATGTGGACGCAACACCTAACATGAAACAACTTTCCCCCACAAATAAGCTTCTTGGTTATAGAAAAGTTTTCCTTTATAACCTTGATTGCCAAGTCATTAGTGGATGCATTATCAACTGATATCGTAAAGACTTTGTTCTCAATTCCCCATTCCCGCAAACAGTTAAATATGTTATCAGCAATCTGGAACCACCGCGAGGAGGCAGTAAACGAACAGAACTGAGCACACGTTTGTTCAACCTCCAATTAGTATCTATCCAATGTCCCGTCACAACTAGGGGTGTTATCGAGCCGAGCCGAGTTTTCGGCTTAACGAGCTCGGCTCGTGAGAGAGGAGGAGTAAACGAGCTGAGCCAAAAATTATATGGCTCGGCTCGGCTCGATAGTGGATGTGGCATATTTCGAGCCGGCTCTTACCGAGCCGAGTTCGAGCTGGCTCGCAAGCCATCTCCAAATAATATTGTTTTTTTTTTTAATTCAATTTTTTTTTACAAAATTTCGCTGGGCAGCAGCAGTCTGACTATGAAATGTTTTTTTTAATTCAATCCCATATGGATTTTATCTCCCATAATAGATTCTCATTTTTTTCTAAAGTGTGTGTTTAATTAATTTATATATAATGTGAAACTATTAACTGCAATTTTTAATAATTATTTGTTACATGAATTAATGATCATAGCTGCATGTATTTCATGTCACACAAATTAATTCTATATTGCTTCATGCAGTAAGCTAAGAATAAATATTTGAGTCAAAGTTTGCTCATGAATTCAAAAAGAGTGGATGGATAGATAATTCCTTGGAAAAATATTGAAAAAGTAATTTTCCATAATTAAAACAATCGATAGCTGGCTCGAAATATGTTTTATTTTTCACTTTTCATTTATTTTGTCAAATGAAAATAAACCTACTTAATTTTCCATAATTGTCTGAATGTCTTCTCTGTCCTCATACATCACCGAACAGTTAAACCTACTTAAAATCAACATTAAATGAAATGCTACGGATATTAACAAATTATCATTTAACATACTGTATGTACCACAAATTAAGTTAAGTGAACTAAATATTTTTGTTTAGTTCACTTGACTTAATAAAGTTTTCACAAAAACAAAATGGGGGATTAGCATAACTATACATCAAGTGACATCCCCATCCATTAAAAAATATATATAATAGCAAAAGATAATTGGTTGTATGTCTATTGTAGCCCTACTCCTCCTACAAACAAATTAATGTGAAACATATTAAGTATAATTGTCATTTTATATAAACAGTAAAGATGAAAATGCAAACCTCAACACAAAAGTAATAAATATAGACCTGCAGAATCCTACTGTCACAGCCAATAACTCACGAGTGAATCAACCAATCTGCTGACTCCCATCACCTGATAGAATAGGAAGCTGAATCTCCAAGTGATCCTCATCCTCCTTTTTCTAAGATGAAAAAGAGAAAAATAATCTATAGGTTAGAATAAAGTTATTTTAAATATAGAATTAAACAAAACATGTAAGCAATGGAACTTACTCTGCACCCTTTCTTCACTCCATTCAAACTGCGACACCAGCCACATCCACATAACAACATCTCCATCGTAGCTGGTGACAAAGAAGCTCGGTAACTATTAATAACCCTACTCCCAGCACTGAATGCAGACTCTGAAACAACTGTAGTGATCGGGAAGGATAGTATCTCTCGAGCCATCGTAGACAATACAGGAAACTTGGTTGAATTTGCCTTCCACCACTGTAAGGCATCGAATGAGTCATGATCCCCTACACACTTATGGCATCCCTCTCCCAAATAACAGTCCAACTCAGACTGACTAGGCTTAATAGTTTCAACCACATCCAGAAAAGAGGTAAAATCATCCCAGGCCTCGGCTCCCTCAACTGCAGCCACCTCACCAATGGCTCCATGTCCATCCCCTTGTGATGTAGAAGCACGGGCGATAGTCACACCTTGGTTAGCTTGAACATACTCCCCATATAACTCATACAATGCATCCCAGACTATCACCATATTTTCCCGTCCTTCTACCTCAGAATACATCTTAAGGAATGCCCTCTGAATAACCCTTATTTTTAACCGAGGATCCAATATAGCAGCCACAGACATCAACATATTACATTCCCCCAATATTTATCAAACTTCTGTTTCATTTTCCTAACCATTACTTTAATGAAATCATCTTCAGGTTCACTTTTACTATCCGACATACATTTCACTGCACACACCTCCTTCAAGAATAAATTAGATGTTGGATTATCACTTCCTGAAATGAGTTTGGTTGAACCACTGAATACTTTCAAAACTTCACAAACTTTCTCCACTTTTTCCCAATCCTCGTCACTCAGATTATTATGATAATTGATATCCCTCTCTTTCACTCTTGGAGAAACCTTTTTGAACTTAATTGCTATTGCCAACATTTCATAGGTAGAATTCCACCTTATTTTACAATGAAGAATAAGTTTCCGATACGGCAATTTAAGTTGTTGAACAATCTTAGAAAATACCTTGAGTCTGCTTTCGGAACTGTTGATATACAACACACTCTCATAGATGTCGTCAATGATGTGCCTAATTTGATGAAGTCCATCTTGAACAATCAGGTTCAAGATGTGTGCGCAACATCTCACATGAAACAGTTTACCTCCACAAAGGAGTTTCCCCGAAACTTTAAAATTTTCCTTCAAAACCTTCATCGCAACATCATTACTTAAAACATTATCCACAGAAATAGTATATACGTTATTTTCAATTCCCCATCCCATTAGGCATGTGAAAATGCCATCCATAATCGCAATACCAGTCCGGGGAGGAGGTAGATGAACAAAGTTGAGGATACGTCTATTCAACCTCCAACTACTATCTATCCAATGCCCGGTCAACACCATGTACTCCATCTTTTGATTCCCTGAATTCCATAAGTCTGTAGTCAAACTGATTTTTGTCACAATCTTCAACAAAGTCTTCAATTTGGCCTTCTCACTTTCATATACCTTCATACAATCTTTTTTACAAGTGTGGCGGGAAACCGGAGTCCATCCAAGAATCCCATACTTCATCATATTGTTCAAGCCCTCTTCCTCCATAACTGTAAATGGATGCTCATGCATAAGCACCAATGGGCGATCAATTCCCTCATTTTCGATATATCAAACTTCCCACTTAAAGCTGGCAAAATAGTAGTTGGAACATCATTACTGGCAGTCGGAAAACTAATATGTTGTTGCCTCATGGAAGCTTTTCTCCTTAAACACCGGCTTAAATGTCTATTGAACTGGGTGGTGCATACAATGGCATTAATACACAACTTGACTTTGCAATGGATACACTCAGCCTTTTTGGTGCCATTAGGGAGTACCACCTCATTGAACTCTGACCATGCCACTGAAGTCTTTGCTCTTTTTTGCTTCTGAATCGAATTTTGATTTTCATCACCATTATCCGGGCTACTAATATTTTGCTCCGTATCAGTAGTGGTTGCATTCAAGTTAAGGTTACCGCCAGGTGTATCGGTAATTGTATCTTGTATTGCAGGGTACTTAAGGAATTACCCTCCATTTACAAAACTATAAATGAAAAAAAAAAAAATCAACAATTTAATGCAAAACCAATATGAAATAATGTCAAACTATTACATTGCACACACATCAAACCAATACATTATACATTGCACACCAATATTAATTGTCACCAATACATCCCAACATTCATTCACTCTTTAATTAGAGACATTGGTTTTGTATCATGTTTGATTAAGTTTCACATGTTATAATATTTAGAATTTAACATGTTTTATTTTGAATTCATTAAAGTTGCATATATAAACTTAATTTATGTAAATAAATTGGAAGGGTACACAAATCTATGTGCTGCCATGCCATGCCATATTAAGAAACTCACCCCGTATTCCATGTGAGTAGATTAAAATAATATGTTCTATGCTAAGTAAGTTTTGAAGAATAATATGTTTCACACATATCATGTATTTCTCCATTATCATCATAATCACATGCTATATAACATGTATATTTATTTCTATTCTAGTTAAGAGAACCAGATTCCACAAGAGCTTGAATGACCCCTCTGGGGGCCCATGCAGAAGTTCCTTTGAGTGAATCTTGAGTCTAAAACCTTCTTCAGTATTGTTTTGAAATTCATATTCCATTGATCTTTTTTTTGTCTACTTTACATTTAAGGGTAAAAAATGTAGATAATTTTACAGTAACTACTTAGAATACACACAAAACCAATGTAGATCCGCATTTCATCTATACTAGACTGAAGTGGACCCAAGCGGACCCCACATTAGTGCAAATTGCATTTCTTATTTTTGCTCACTTCTAAGCATGCTTTTACTTAAGCTTCTCATTATACTTAACAGGGTGGGCTTTATGTGTGCCGATAATAGATGATGTTTGAATATGCAGGGAGATTATATGTTGTTGGCATTCTTGGGATTTGTAGTTCAACACAATGTGACAGGAAAAGGACCATTTGACACCATTGTTCAAACACTAAAGGGTTACTAAATCAACTGTCTTCCTTTGGCAATCAATTTGAGTCAAATTTGAGCATCAATGTAAACATGGGACCTTTAATGTACAGGGGAACTTAGATGGCATTTATATTACCGTACATTACTTGCCCCAATTAAATTTTACTTTCTGTAGCAAGAATGAATACATACAAACACAAATCTCATCTACTCATATTTAAGGTACTGGCTCTTTTTTCTTTACCCCACACCAACACATTCCCACAAGTCAGCCACAAATTTTTAAATCCCTAGTCCCCACCACCAAATGTAGGACCACATTCCCACAAGCCACAAACACATTTAAAAATTACCTGTCGGCCAGCCCCCACCACCAAATGCAAAACGCCATAACCACATTCCCACAAACCACAATAATTAAATAACAACTAGTCAACCATTAACAAACTGCAATTGAAATTTTTTCCCAACCCAACCACAATCACAATTCACAAACAATTCGAATGTCAGTAAAGCAATTTAAATAAACAGTCAAACAGACCCATATGCGGCATTACTCTTCACATATACACAAGCATTAACCTTGTATGGGTTTCGCAGCAACACCACCATGGCACTACTCTTCACAGACTGCTCTTCCTGAATTCTTTTATCGGAAAAAGCCCCCTGTTACAGACGAACAAATCATGAAAAACAAGTTAAAATTTGACAAAAATTGAAGAAACCCCAAACAAACAATTAAATCCCAATCGACCAGCCAGGACTGATGACGAACCGACGACATCCAATTCAGATCTGATGAAGATCCAACGACTGCTGAAGGTCCGACGAAGATGAACAAATCCGGCGAAGATCCGACGAAGCTAATTAAGATGAACAAGATCTGGCCACAAATCAACACTTTGGGAGGATTTGATTCAAATTTTACGGCAAGGGTTCGAGTGTGACGGATTTTTCGCGATTTGGGGATTTTAATAATGGGGGCTAGTTTGTTATTTTTCAAAACTTGTTTGCATTATTTCAATTAAGTCCCAATGTTTCAGAAATTCTCAAAAACACTCCCGCTTTTTCGAGCCAGGCGCAGCTCGTTAGCCAGACGAGTTGAGCCTTGTATGGCTCGAACTCAGCTTGTTTTGTCTCACGAGCCGAGTCGAGCCGGCTCGTTATCAGACGAACCGAGCCGTTAACGAGCTGGACTCGAGCCGAGCCGAGCCGGCTCGTAAGCGGCTTGGTTCGTTAACCAGCCCTAGTCACAACCATGTACTCAAGTTTCTGATTACTTGAATTCCACAGATCAATAGTCAAACTAATTCTATCAATATTCTTCAAAATAGCCTTGAACCTCTTCTTTTCCGTTTCATACACCTTTATACAATCATTTTTACGTGTGAAGCATGATATTTTTTTCCTAACCAGGCATTGCATATTTTAGCAAATTATTAAAACCCTCTTGCTCGACAACTCTGAATGGGTACTCATGTATTAGCACCCATTGCGTAATAGTTCCCTCATCCGAGCCATCTCAAACTTCCCACCTATAAGAGGAGGCAGTGAACTACCTGCTGCCATTGCATCTATAGCTGGAGAGTTCATCTATTGTTGTTGATTATTGAAAACCCTTCGCCTTAGACACCCCTTCAAATGTCTAGCAAATTGAGTTGTGCTTTCAGTTGCATTAATGGACAATTTGGCCTTAAAATGGATGCATTCTGCCTTCTTCGTATTGTCAGGTTGAAGAACCTCTCTAAGTTCTGCCCATACAGGAGATGTCTTTGCTCTTTTCTTCCTTTGGAATGAGTTATCAACATCATCATTTTCTTCTTCAACAGCTAGACTAGTACCACGATCCATATTACTTCTTGGGGTTTGAACTAGTGAACTTGAGTCAATCAACGTGGGTCGGCTACTAGATGAGCCTTCCATACCTATAATGGAAGAATAAAGCAACTATTAACATTTGTATAAAATATAAAAATCAAGCAACTGTATAAGTAATTGAATGCATTTCAACCTATTAAAGTACAAGAATAATGTGACTATGTGAGTGTAACTGTGTAATGTGACTGATAGTGACAGGAACCCTGATTGTTTCCACTTCCAGAATACATAAATTTACTTAAAGATGTAATAAACATGTACAACCTTTGTTTAAATAATTAAAAAAGATTACTTGACAAACATGCCGATTATTATATCAGCTTAGATGAAATAATTTGTATAAATAGTTTATATATGTAGTATCACTCAATTAATTAATATTGAGTTGCAGGATCAACAGGTTTAGTGTGCAATATTCTATGAAACAAGCTCTATTTATTACTGTAGAACAATCTGCCAAATCCAATATCTATGTAAATTTTATGCAATAATGCGAAAGTATGTCTCAGGTCTTACACTAACTTTTATTAAAAGGTGTTGTTATGATTGATACTGCTAAAGTTGTAGTACATATATGGTTTTAATGAAGGTTCGCCAGCATTCCAGAAAACCTGATCTATGTTTCTGTAAACACAATAGCCAATAATCATCACTAGTAATTACATATTCAAGAAAACTGCAATGCATGGGACGGGTCATTCACATAACACATCTCTAAAGGCTTATTTTTCATCTCCTAGGACACTTATGAAATAATTGTAAAATTTCAATATGATAAACTTAATGGAAGATACTAAACTAACATGATAGCAATAAGATTAAGTGGTAGCTAAGTACATACAAATGCAAACCAGATCAAACAAGGCATGCTTAATTCATAACTTACACAAAAAACAACACACAATGAGTGTAACAAATTTAACAAAATGAGCAAAACAAATTATTGAGCAAGATGAGAACTCTAACTATACAATGTAAGAAGATGGCTAGAAACAAAATGCCATGCAACAATGACATAAAGACAGGATGAAGTATAAATGTCAAAGATATCTTATAAATCACTGCACAAGATTTATAAAATTTCCAATACTGCCATACCTAGTTCATCGGGGATCTAACAAATAACTCGACATAATAGTAAGCTCTCGCAGACAGGAAATCTCTAGTAAATAGACAACCAAGGACCAGAACCTTAGGCTCCATCACCCTTACGCATTCTTAATTACCCAAAACAGCTTATATATAAGACTGTTAAAATTGCAAGTGTAATTTTAACCAATTCCTCTTCATTTATGGTTTAAGTACTTTTAAGTTTTAAGATTGTGTGAGGTCAAAGTCTATACAAAATAACATTTTCTTTACAATCTCATCAATTATTATTTGAAGTCCAGATTGTATGAAAGTTTGGTTCCTAATAATGGGCGAAGACTAGGAAACAAATAGAAGAAAAAATATTACCTACAACATTCGACATGATATTTGATATTAATCTTGAGAACAATAACTATTGTGATTTATGTAATTACCTGGAACCAAATCACTGGTCAGGAGCTTTAGCACGATGGAGATAACGGTAACAGCGAATGGCAATGGAGAAGTTGTCGACGATGACGGCGTGACTCGTGAGTGACTGATTTACAAAATGGCAGCGAATGGGACGTTTGGGTATTTTAGAGCTAAGGAAGCAATAGGACTATTGGAGAATGGAGATGA